CCAGGCAAAGGAGGGCGGAGGAACAGAAGCAGCAGCTGTGGAGGCAGACTCATAAGAGATAATCAAGCCCAGGTGGTTGTGGCTTGGCCCCTCCCAAGAGAGTATATAAGTGAGAAATTGGGAGGGGTCCTTTTGCAGGACACAACCATTTGTAACAGTCTTGAGGAACTCTGGTCTGGTCTGTTTCGTATTTCTGTTTGGTTGGGTTGCTGCCAACCCTTCTTGCATGAGAGTATCGTTTGAGCTTTCAGCCAACGGAGTTGTAATTCCTATGATTAAAGAGTGGCAAATAGCCAAGCGTGTGTCTGCGTTACTCACAGAGGGGTCAGAACAGGTTTATATACAGGGTCCTTGGTGCTCTCTGAGGTTGGTAGTTTTCTTACAGATGTTTCATTACCCAATTACGTAACGTCATCAGTGCTGGAGACGGATAATGAAACTTTTGCAAGAAAACGCCAAGCTCAGAGAGGACCAAGGAGACCAAAATCCAGCCTATGAGCTTTGTATTCTAGTGGTTAGAAATGTCTTTCTCTCTTTCCCTCCTCCCCTCTCTCTCTTTCACACACAAACACACACACACACAGAGTAAATTACAATTGCCATATTGTGCTTAAAGTTCCATATGACCAGGACTCATAGATTTACTTGCTCGCTGCAATTTGGAGTAGGCTTTTTTATTAAATAAAGGCAAGAGAAATGGAGAGAATTCAGAGTTACGGGCAAGATACCCAGTTAAGACAGGACCGAACAAAAGAACAGCTTCCTCTCCTTAATCTGCAACGGGTTGTTGGAACGTTCGCACGGCTGCCTCCACGAACTTAAAAACTGAAGCCTTCAAACCCCGAACAGGAAAACTGCAGCCCCAAAACGGGCCCCAAGAGTCTAGAATTTGGGGCGGGGGGGCAGGGGGGGGGCAGGGGGGGGCAGCCCTTTTAACTGGGGGAATTGCAGCAGCCCACTCTCAAAACACCCTGAGAAGGAGAATGCAAAAGAAATAAAATAAAAATGAACCCAAGAGTTTCAACTATTCCTCTTCTGATGATCTTGTCATCTGGTAGTCCTTTGAGAGGCTGAGTTGGGGCGCCTGAACCCCTAAAGTAAGGGTCGCCACACATGGCAATTTTAAGACGTGCGGACTTCAACTCCCAGAATTCCCCAGCCAGCCTGGCTCCGCTCCATAAATCTGGTGGTCATTTCTCTTCTTCCTCGGAGTCGCTGCTCTCCTCGCTCTCCATAAAGTCGTACGTTATTCGGTTGGTGTTCACAAACAGATCGGTATCGTCATCTTCAGAATCCTCTTCCCCGGAAGACTGAGGGGTGCTTTGTACCCCCTCTCTACTACTAAAAAAAATGTAAATAAAAAGTAAGGTTTTTTGGGAAGGGGGGGGGGGGAAAACCTTCAAACATTCCATCTCAATTATTTCTATCACACTTTTAAAGTGAGCTCAGCGGCATCCAATTATAATTCAGGGCGAAAGATTTTAAATGTCCCATCTTAAAGCAAGCCATATTAACCATCATTTTAGCATGCTGGTGCAGGGATGGGAAACCTTTTCGGCACTGAGTGCGGGCGTCAGCACTCCTTCATTGAGTAATTAGGGAAGAAAACCACGAGACTCCATTGATAGAAATCAAGTGTACTTTTACTAATTATAAATGATCAGTAGCGTAGCAAAGCGAAGACTGATTATTTAGGCGCGAAAGCGAGTGATATATAAAATAACCCATTCCCCACCCCTTGGCATTCCAGTTGCAGTCCAATCATAATTCTCCCAAGGGTCAGGTGTGAGATAACTTCGAAAGGCATCACCAAGATGGAATGTCGGTGCCGTTGGCCTTGGCGGGAAACCTCCTCCGCATGCGCAGTCCGACAGGCAGAACTCCAGAATCTTCCTCCAGCACAATTAGTAAACCCCTCCCAAATACCATGCCCCCCTCCCCATTTCAATGGCAGCTGAAGCAGCAGCTGACAGCGGGCATGCCTATTTTTGCCCTGTTTTTACTCTGTTTTCAGGCCGGCACTCCTGCACCTGCAAAGACCACCTGCCAGCGCGCATGCTGTCTTTGGCCCCCCAAAACACCCGAAAAACAGGCATGCGCGCACTGGCCAGCTGGTCTTCGGGGTTTCTGGCGCTCCGGTACATGGTTTGGGCACTGAGTGCTGAAAAGATTCTCCATCGCTGCCCGATACCATTTCAGACAAATCCCTGAAACGCGCCATTTGCACAAATGCGCTCCGGAAACCAGAAGAGCAGCTGGCGATGTGCGCGTGCCCACTCCGAGGTGCCCCACAGCTCAGGCAGTGGAGGATAAAGAGAAATGGCAGAATAGCAAAACTACTTGAGATTATGATTATTATAATAATTAAGCTTAAGATCATACCAATCGGAAATCCACCCATGGAGTTTCTAAAACAGTGTTTCTCAACCTTGTTAACTTGAAGCTGTCTGGACTTCAACTCCCAGAATTCCCCAGCCAGCATTCGCTGGCTGGGGAATTCTGGGAGTTGAAGTCCGGACAGCTTCAAGTTGACAAGGTTGAGAAACACTGTTCTAAAAGCGCCAGCATTTGAAATCGTTTCATTGCTCTAAATCCCAAGGCCACCTCCTGAATCCTTGGAATTTTCATCCTGCCTTTATTACATGATAAGTAACCCAAAGCAATCAACATGCAATCCTTCCTTCCTCCTGTTTTCCACGGAACAACAACCCTGTGAGGTGCTGTGAAAGAGACTGGACCAAAATCATGTGGCCAGCTTTCATGGCTAAGCCAGGACTAGAACTCCCTGTCTCCTAGAGTCTAGACCACCATATTAACCCTGGCCCCTAACTAGCTCTCATCCCCATCTTGTTCCCCTTTACCTTTCTTTAGTCTTGCTTGGAGTTCCTTTCACATCTCCCAAGAAGGCGTCAGGCCTGCAGGGGGGAAAAAATATATGAAGTCTCAACATAAATGTGGTAGGACGGTTTGTAGAAATTACTTCAACCTTCAGAATTTCCACGTCCCAAACTGGGAAGCTGCAGTGAAGATCCTTTATATTCTTTTTATTTAAGGTTTCCTGCTTAGCCGAGGCTTCGACTAGAAGGCCTAGAGAAAAACTGTACGTCTTTCCAGGCTGGACTGAGTTAAAAAAAACTGAACTCTTGCAGTCAGAGGAGGCGTGGTCAACAATTTCATAACTCAAGTCTCTAGGCTAATGGACAAACTTCAGCCAATGCTTGGATTCTCCAAGCAGCGCACAGGAGAACAGATCCTTCCACTAAAACAAAGAGGCTATAAGGAAAAGGGGCACCCCAAGAGCTGTTAGGGGTGTCTTATCCCCACAGTGTTTGTTTCCAGAGAGTAAGTCATCTGTGTACCAAGCTTGGTTGAAATTGCTCAAGGAGTTCCAGAGTTATGCTGGAACATACATACATGTACACACAGAGCCATTTTATATTATATACATATACATATATATATATACACATATATGTCAAAACGTCGGCAAGATACTCTCAATCTTACACGGGAAAAGACCCGAATACGCCAAGACCTGCATACCTGTACCCACGAAAATCTACGAAAACAAAGATAGATAGATAGATAGATAGATAGATAGATAGATAGATAGATAGATAGATAGATGATAGTTAAAGAGAGATAGATAGATATAGATATAGATAGATAGATAGATAGATAGA